GTAGATATATTATAAATAGGAAAGCATTATACGAGCTATTGGAAGAACTCGGTCTGGCAGGACAGCTCACATATAAATCCAAATTACTTTGAAATAAAAATATGTTTTTGGTTTAATGTAAGAATACTTACCATGATGAAGACGGTCAAATGTCGGTCAACAACGGTGAAAGAGGTAGCTGAATATTTAAAATTGATGGTGTAAAAATGAGATTATATTAAGATTTGAAAAAAATTTGGAAAATGGTAATAAAGTGAAGATGAAAGTGATTGTTTGTCTTGGTGATTAAAAATTCGGTTTGTACATATAGTGGGGTTTGAAGAGAAAAAATAGGATAAATGTTGTATTGAAAAGGAACATAATTTGGTCAACAACAAAATCGAAAAGGGCGTTGGGTGGGTCCCTTACGTACTGCACACCGGCCAATGCGTAGGGGTCAAGTTCGATAAGGGTGATGTCAGCCCATGGTCTTATCACACGTCACTTCGTTGGGTTTAATTTTTTCTTTTTTGCAATTAAGCCCCTCTACGCATCAGACAATGACACATGCTAAATGGAGGGTTAATTGTTGCAAACCATTTAATTTAGGGTTAGTCTTGTAGTTTCAGTTTTTGGAATGGTTATTTTAGTCAAGAACCTCCATTTACTTCCATTTCATCCTCAAGAACATAAATAAAAAATTTCTTTCTTTTTCTTACCTTCTCAAATTCGAGAACAACAACATTAATGAACATGAACAAAAAGATTGCCCGTTTATATGTTTGTGTTTGTTAATTTATTATGTTAAAATTAAATAAATAAGACCTCGTTTGTATTCGTTTGGTTGTTTTATAGCCTCATCGATGACAACTTTGACACACTTTCACTTGAAATAAATGGACGCGCTTCATTTCAAACCTTTAGAGGTTGTTTGTTTACCTTTTAATAGTTTTATTAAGAGACAACTTCTGAATCGTTAAGAGATGAATTTTATTTGACAAAAAAAAGTTTGTCTCTTAATGGTTCTAAAACCCTCTGAATAATTTTGTATCATGTGCCTCCCTTAACCATCCGGCGCTCTAATTTCATTGTAAACAATTATATTTCATTTTACACAATATCATGAGAGCCTCTTAATCATTCTACACTAAACCATTGAACAATTACCAAACAACCTCTTAGTCTTGGGTATAATAGAAACCAAAATCCCTCCAAATTCAAAACACAATTGTAACGTTTTTCTTAATCAACCCACCACAAACCCACTCAAATCAAAACACAAATTAACCATTTCTAATTAATAACCTAAATTGACCCTTTCTCAAATGTAGATCATCAACATGAACAAGAAAAAAATTAACCGCAAATACCATACAAATTCATTTCCAAAGGTTAAAAGTACCAAGAGGTCTCAGGTTCAAATCCAAGAAGGAATAAAAATCTCTTTGCGGCCACGGAGGTTCAAATGCGGGAACTCCGGGCTATCTGCAAAGCAGGTGGTCGACCTGGGATTAGTTAGCTCGCGTAGCGGGTTAGATATCCAGGTTAATAGTTAGTGATATAGAACTATACATCAAAACTCTAAAAAAAAACCATAAAAATATAATCGCTATTGGCATGGATGATATATAATACCAGATAACTTTCAATCTTTCATGTAGGCATGGAAATGGAGCGGCAACCCCAATCACCATTCTGTTCCTCAGTCCCAGTCTCCGTCCCATCCCTCCTATGGAATATAATCACATCACCATCCTTAACTACAACGGAGAATTGAGGATTTTTTTTCAAATTCAAATTTGCAAACGGAACAGGTGTTATCGAGTGTCACTGTCAACAATGATTTACCAACATTTAATTTCAAACAAAACCAAATCAACATAATCAATAATCAAAATTATTATATTAAATCAAAAATACCAAAACAAAATTATAATCTAAATCATTTGAGCCAAAGTGGTATATCAACAGTGGTTCACAAAATAAGAGAAGAAAAAGTCAAAAATACTCTTTCTAAATCTAAAAGATATTAAATCTAATTCTTTACAAATAATATACTTAGTAATAAATATGTAAAACATTAAATGTACGGGGACGGGTGGGTTAGGGATCACGTTATCCGTCCTCGTTCCTGGTTTTAACTTTTGGAGATCCCCCCGTCCTCGGTTTTACGAGGAATCCCCAACCCTGGTCGAGGTGGGTACGCGGATTTTCAAACAAAGCAGGTCTTATTCCCATGTGTATTTTCATGCCTCTACCACTTGCAGCTAGATAAAGGAAATCAAAAGAAAAGAAAAGTGGTATATCTCAATTTGTTATTGTTGGTCTCAACCACCGGATTTGTATATAATACTTATAGATATCCGACCAAAATACTTACAACAGAAACATTCTTGTTTTCCTTATTACTAGGTACATATCCGACCTCTTTGTTTACTATCTATCTATTGGTATCTTCCGACCTCCTTGTTTACTTCAAATATTTCATCTCTTAGGATATATAGTTGGCATTTCTTCTAAAAAGAAATCTTGACCCGATTAAGTCATCCATCGGACAAAGATTCAAGCATTCACCAACTATCCATATACATCCCATGTAAACTTCATAGTGTCTACATCCATCAATAGAATTTTTATTTGTAAAAGTCTTATAACTATCTGTATTAATCAAAGAGCATAGTGCTTTGAGTAAAATCGAAGACTAGTTGAAGTGACTTCAAAATTGTTACCAAAGCGAATTAGCTTGTCATCTAGCCGAAAAAAGATCAATATAAAGTAAAAAATCAACTAGTAGTCTGACAAATACTAATACTTGCAAGCCAAATCTTGAAGTACAAACTTGGACAGCAAGTTTGGTTCTCCAACTCACTTGCATCCTAATCTTAGTATGAAAACATATATATCATGTCCGTCTAAGCAAATACAAATGCACCATGCAAGCGGTACTTTATTTGCTTTACTGTTTCTTGGCATACTAAAAGGATAAAGTAAGTTAAAAGTATGTCTACATCAAATTCAAATATTGATATGAAGAATACTGGGATGCATGGATCAACCAAGAAGAAGAAGACCCGTACAAAAGTCGGACATATGGCATTAAATGCAATGATGGCTATAAAAAAGTCACTCTTGGCATTTATTGTAATTCACCCGTTTTGGAAGAACAATTCTTGAGAGCGTTTCTGAAGTAAATTTGGCATCACCATCTAAAGAACATCATTTGTTCATCGGATATGTAAGAGAACCCTTCTCTAACCCTCTCTTTCAATTAGCAAATTTGTCACAATCAACTTGTTTAGGATCACAGGCCTTAATTTTCTAATTTCCACAACAAATATGTAATTCTTTGTATTTATACAACTTATAAAGCAAAAATTTAAAAACTGAAAATCTGTTATGTTTATATATTCAATCCCCCTCCTACAAACACTTCATGTTTAGGTCATCACTTTCCAGGACCAACAATCATCCATTGCAAAATTGAAAAGTATGTGTTGTTATTTGCACATGTTGGTGATTTTAGTGAATCATTAGGTTGTCTTGTGTAGTTGGATTCAAAAGAGAATGAAAATGTTGGTAGTTAAGCTATATATAGTAAAGGTTAGGAGGTACATAATACACGTGTACAAGCTAACTAGAACCTGGATAGTGGAATGTAGTCGTATGGTAGGGGTCAAGGGGCCACACCCTCTTGTAGGGGTATTAGTGATGCCCCTAAACAATATGTATTCGAAAGCATCTTCAGAAAGCTATGTGCTTTCTGAAAAATGCCAAGTCCAAGCCTGGTTTAGAAAACTATATCATTTCTGAAATCAGTAAAACTTAGAAGGGAAGAACCTTCATAAGGTTAGACTTGACTTTTTTAGGTAAATTATGTTCTAGACTTCATTCGAGAAGATAAGAGTCGTCTTAAGATCAAACTTGGATTCATAAGGTAACCATTTTCTAGACTTTAGTGTATGTAGTCCCCATTTTGTAACAATCAAATAATTGTTCAATAGCTTGCTGTGAGTCCACTTTGAGATCAATCTACAAATATCTTCAATAATTCATGACAATCTTCAAGAACATTTAAGAATAATATGGAAGGAAACTTGATCAGAGAGAAACTCAACTTTGATCAAACTCTATTATACGTAAAATGAATATTACAATTGAGTTCATACCTAAAATTACACTAAGAAAATACTAAAATAAAACTAAAATTGCTAAAATCACTACCTATTAATGATACATCCATTCTTATTTTAATGTACAAAAACATTACAATTTTTGTATCTAGAGATTGTTTGAGCAAACTTCATGTTACCCAAACAATATAAGATTGAAAAAATCGTTTAAAGAATATAATTTCATATTGTTTGTGATTTCTCACAAGACCCAAATATCATCACCTCTTTTTTTACATTACAATGAAAACATAAAAATATTACTTTAACATTATGTATGTAATAGAAAAATTAACCCCATGTATTTCAAATAATTTCCATTTAATTTCCATATATTTCAAATAATTTTTAAAAAATATCATACATATTCAAAAGCTTGCTAATTAACGCAACCTTTTTTTTTAATTTATACCCCACATTTTTTTGATTAACCTGGATATCCAGCCCGCTATTCGAGCCGACTAATCTCAGGATAATCACCTACTTTGCAGATAGCTCGGAATCACCGTATTTAAACCTTTATGACCACAAAGGGATTTTTATTGTTTTGCGGATTCACAATTTTTTTAATAGTATATGAGTAAAAAATATTGATGTAATCTATTAAATTTATCAAACCCATAATTACGTAATTAGATTTACGTCATGTCAACTCTTTTTTCTACGTATCAATTAAGCACTCACTTTACAATAATCATAAAGTCGATGTTCTCATGACGTCAAAGTTTCAAGAAATATTTTACATCAGATAACTTCTCAAACAATTCCAACTTGTTCCTCTACGTACCTCACCCACCCCAATATTACTATATAACACCCCCTCCAAAACAAGCATCAACAACCAAAAAAACCATATGTTTTCCGACAGAAAAGCCATCGACCAGGTTTCCGGGTGGCTCACTCTATACGACGATGGTTTTGTTGATCGGACATGGACCGGACCACCGCAATTCAAGTTCATGTCTGATACCGTCCCACCACACCATCATTTTATCGACGGTGTCGCCACCCATGACCTTTCGATTGACACCAACACCAATCTTCGTGTCCGGATTTATCTGCCGGAGCTACCCGACTCCACCCAAAAGCTGCCCATAATCTTGCACTTCCATGGCGGAGGATTTTGCATCAGCCAAGCCGATTGGTTCATGTACTATAATTTCTACATGCGGCTTGCCCGTGAAGCCAAAGCCATTGTCGTCAGCACCTATCTTCGTCTGGCACCGGAATGCCGACTCCCTGCCGCCATCAATGATGGCTACTCCACCCTTCTCTGGCTCCAAGACTTGGAAAACCGTAAAACCCACCAATCATTGTTGTCGTCCAATGGAGATTTTAGCCGTATCTTCCTCCTCGGAGACAGCACCGGTGGGAACATAGTCCACCAGGTGGCCAAAAAGTCCGCCGGAGAAAACATGGGAGTTGCCGGAGCAATCCTGATCCACCCGGGGTTTCTCCGGTCGGTTAGAAGCAAGTCGGAGTTGGAAAACCCAGAATCTCCGTTTTTAACTCTGGACATGTTGGATAAGTTTCTGAAGCTAGGGTTGCCGGAAGGCAGCACCAAAGACCACCAGATTACATGTCCAATGGCGGAGCCGCTGGAGGGGTTGGATTTGCCACCGTATCTGGTGTGTGTGGCGGAGCAGGACCTTATGATAGCGACGGAGGTAGAGTTTTATGAAGCCATGAAGAAAAGTGGGAATAACGTCAAGTTGTTGGTGAGTCCAGAAGTTGGACATAGTTTTTACCTGAACAAAATCGCCATTGATGTCGATCCAGTGACCTCGAAGCAGACTCATAAATTGATCCAAGAAATAACCCACTTCATTAGAAACCATTAATTTTAAATTGTATATTTGTTATCGGTGAACGTTCATCTTCCAATTCGCTATCACCCAAACAAAACCCCAGGAATATGATCATTTCTTAGCTCTATTCTATTCTCTAGAATAAGAAGTTGACATGCCAATTTCTTATTTTCTGTTACCATTACACCCCTTACATTTACATAACTATATATTCCCAACAGTAACATGCAGGTTACATAATTAACAGATGATTTTTATTCCCAAAATGATTAAAATCCACAACCCTCGATCAGGCTTCCATCAAAGAAATCAATTGTTCAGTATGGAAAGTTAATTGAATCATGACTTAATTGGGTTAGTTAAAGAACAATGTTGGTAGATCCAATTTGCATCTGAACTTGGCGGCCATTTTAATTTGTCTATTTTCTTAATCCTAGTTGACAGTAGAAATTAAATTAAATTGGTTTACATGAGGAAATTAATAGGTTTTTATTAATTAAATTGATGGCATAAATTATTGTCAAACTAGGTTTTCGTACCTGTATCATCCTGTAATATTTTTTATTATAAATAAAAAAATAATGCAATCATTCAATGAAACAAACACAAATTACAAATGATATTTAACCATAGTTTGTTAATTTGAAGATCTGGGTAAAACGAAATCCGATAAAAATTCACTGATTTAAATGTCAAATTAAATATTGCAATTTTTTTCTTTTTAGGCCATAACTTATTTAATTAAAAAAATTATAATCCAAACATGTTAAATATAGTGTATTGCTATTCAGTCTTTTCATTTACATGGTAGGAAATTATGTTGAAAATGGTATTTCTATAGATTTGTGGAATCTTATGGTCCTGAGTTAAAGATGTGAAGATCTGGAGGTCATCGGTGCACATTTGATGAAAGTTCAAGGACCGTTTGTGTATAATTGCAGTTGGGTATTTAAGCTTTTGTTTATGTATTGTTGCTATTATTTTTCTTTCAATCAATTCATTTTTCTTTTTCAGTCTTCTCTCATCATTGTAAAGTCTCTCATTTTCTTGGGAGCTCTTAGGGTTTTTGTTTACTTTTCATTCATAAATAAAAGTTTGTTTAGTTTGAACATGGTATCAGAGCTTCATTCGTTCTAAGTTGTATAGAATGTTCTGTTCCGGTGATTTGTTGTTTGCTTTCGTCGTTTGCGAAGAGCGACTGTTGGTTTCTGCAGATATGTGTTCTTCAGATTTGATTGTTTTGGGTGCATTTGCTCTTTGGTCGAATCGAGATCTTTCTCCTTAGATCCATTGCTTTTCTCCAATTTGCAGGTAAGTCTCTTTACCCTTTCTTTACTCTTTCTTTGGGTTTGGTTTTCTGCATGTTCTTCCCATCGAAGAATTTTGTATTCTGTGTCCAGGTAATCGATTGTGGTAAGATTTCTAGTTTTCTTCTTTACTCTTGGTGTTATCCAAGATCTTATAACCAATCCTTCGTTGTGCGAGGCCCCTGTTTTGGTTATGTTTCTTTCCTTGCTTTTGTGGTTAAGGTTTTGTTATACTACTAGAGTCACATGTGGTGTTCTCCCCTTGCTCTCGGCTATTTAAGTATCTATGTAAGTCCTCTTTCCCTTCCTGTCAGTAGCAAGGGCACTGAGTCAGTGTTCTTGGCCTATAGGCAGGTTCTTCGTCTTGCTTTATTGTCTGCCCTTTTTTGTTGTTGTTCTTTTTTATTCTGTAATCTATGTTGGATAGTTAGTTTGACCTCGCACCCTGAGTGTTTTAGGATTCTTGTTGTTTGCTATCTTGTCCACTGTTTTTGTGGTTGATTGTATGTGTTCCTTCATATGGTTGGTCCATCGGTTGCCATTGAGACTCAAGGGATGTCCCAATTTTCTAAATTAGATTTTGGTGATCCCTTGTATCTTCATCCTAGTGACACCAGTGGAACGCCCATTTTAAACTTGAAGTTAAGTAGTACTGACAGTTATCGAATATGGGCTTGTGTTATGACCTTGGCTCTTGAAACCAAGAACAAACTTGGATTTATTGATGGAACCTGTGTTAGACCTATTGATGACTTTGTTCTTCAAAAAACAATGGGATAGATGTAATTATGTTTTGTTAAGTTGGATTTTAAGTTCTGTAACTGAAGATTTGTTTTTGGGTCAAGTGTTTTCAAAGGACTTCTCTAAAGTGTGGGAAAAATTGAAAAAATCTTATGACAAAGTTGATGGGTCTGTTACACTTAATCTCTATCAAATAAATTAACTATTTAAATCAAAATGGATCTTCTGTTTTTGAGTATTATCACAAAGTAAATTTCTTATGGAAACAGTTTGATGCTTTTGTTACTCTTCCCACCTGCACTTGTAATGCCTCTCAAGAGGTTTTCAATCACTCTGACGGGTGTCGAGTCCGACATATAATAAAAATAATAAAATTAAGCCTATTATCTCTAAAATACAATTTGTGATAACGATAAGTAGGGTCGTCTCCTCAGCGACTCGGTGTTAGCCGTAAGTTCAAGACGTAACCGTGTGCAAATTCATTAATAATAAAATACTATATATAAGGGGGGGGGGGGGGTTTGGAAGATTGATAAATAGCTTAAATATGAAAAATAAATTGAGAACTTTAACCAATAATAAAAAGAGACTAGCAATGAGCATCAATCAAGTAATCCTTTGGATTATATATCATCGACTCATTCAAATCGTTTTCTCAAAAGAAGCCAAGTTGGTTAGGACATCGACACACGTCAATATTCTTTTCATTATAAAAGCATGATCAGGCTTGAACACTCTACGACTAACCTCTAATTAGCTAATCAAACCTAGTCACAGACTTAAAGTTTAATTGCCAATTGCACTAACGTCAAACAAACCCGACACTAACTGACAATCGGACGCCGATTGTTTAAATTAGACTATACGATCTTACAACATCATCATTTAACATAAATGTCAACTGTGTGTCTGGTGCTACTTCAATAAACCGAAAAGCAATTATGGACTTATACGGACTTAAAGGTTTATCTAGCAACTCGAAATTGAATTAGACATAACAAAGGATCCTACTCAAAATATCCAACTCAAAACGATAAGCATTCAACTCTAAAATCGCATAAATAGCTTCAAATGATATGTTGAAATCGACGTGAGTCTCAACGAATCCAAATTCAAAGTAATCACATACCCATTACTAGAAGTTTGAAAATTAGCTACACATACTAGGAATTGGAAATCGAATACTTACAAAATGCTTGTAAAATTGGAATTTAGGAAGAACCCTATAAAACCCGCTCCAAAATCGACTCCAATTGTGAAATCGAATTCTGCCTCGGGTTTTCGTGACGGCTCTGAATCTTCTCAATCGACATATTCTCGTCTCTCAATCGACAAGTTCTATCTCGAGCTCGCTTCCGATTTCTTCCTCTCACAACTTTTGTTTTTCCCCTTTGCTAGTACCTCTCAATCGATAGCCTCTAAAACCTCTTGATAGACAGCTTCTATTTCAAAAGAAAATCCTCTCGATTTCTGCCCTCTTTCGACTTCTGTTTGCTACTCGATCGATAGGTCTTAAATCTCCTCTCAATTGACAGTCTTGTTCCTTATTCGATTTCTCTTTTCTTCCAATCGACCCTCTCCCATTGACAGCCTTTAATTGCACTTCCATCTCTCGTCGTTGCCCACGTCTCCCGTCTCTACCCACGTTTGGCTGCCCATGATCTCCCGATTTCTCTCTCGGTCTCTCGATTTCTGGTCTGGGCAGCAGCCCAACTGCTGTTGTTTCTTCTTCTTTTCTTTTTGTTCACGGGCTGCTGTTATGGGCAGCAGTAAATAGCTTCAAATGATAGGTTGAAATCGATGTGGGTCTCAACGAATCCAAATTCAAAGTAATCACATACCCATTACTAGAAGTTCGAAAATTAGCTACACATACTAGGAATTGGAAATCGAATACTTACAAAATGCTTGTAAAATAGGAATTTAGGAAGAACCCTATAAAACCCGCTCCAAAATCGACTCCTATTGTGAAATCGAATTCTGCCTCGGGTTTTCGTGACGGCTCTGAATCTTCTCAATCGACAGATTCTCGTCTCTCAATCGACAAGTTCTATCTCGAGCTCGCTTCTGATTTCTTCCTCTCACAGCTTTTGTTTTTCGCCTTTACTACCACCTCTCAATCGATAGCGTCTAAAACCTCCTGATAGACAGCTTTTGTTTCAAAAGAAAATCCTCTCGATTTCTGTCCTCTTTCGACTTCTATTTGCTACTCGATCGATAGGTCTTAAATCTCCTCTCAATTGACAGTCTTATTCCTTATTCAATTTCTCTTTTCTTCCAATTGTCCCTCTCCCATTGACAACTTTTAATTGCACCTCCATCTCTCATCGTTGCCCGCGTCTCCCGTCTCTACCCACGTTTGGCTGCCCACGATCTCCCGATTTCTCTCTCGCTCTCTCGATTTCTGGTCTGGGCAGCAACCCAACTGCTGCTGTTTGGGCTTTCTCCGTTGTTGTTTTTCTTTCACAGGTTGCTTGTTGATCTTTTCTTCATGGGCTGCTTCTTGGGCTTTGCTTTTGGGCTGTGTAGCAGCTGCTGTTTGGACCAAAAAAGACAACTATCAACACATTTTTCTCAACTTTAATGGCCTCATATAGTTAGATTAACTTAAATTAAATTGCCCTCTTTTAAGCATATATTTAAGATTAATTGTAAAGTACTTTGACATAAAAATGTATATATTTGCACTTATCAAATTCCCCCACACTTAAATCATTGTTCGTCCCGACAATGACTTGAGTTAACACGTAGTTATAAAAATCGAATCTAACGAGAATGTCAATACATATAGCATATCATGAGTTTGAGATTTGCAACAAAGCAATGAAAAGAGGATGCATACATAATCAAGTAGACACAAGCTAATCTCGAGAACTCTCACGAAAGCAACACTCGATTCACTCCTTGGGTTAAAGTGTATCGCTTAAATCGTCAATGTACTAGCATGTACCTACCATATACTTGAAAAGTCTGTCACTCTCCACTATTTGTATAAAATACATGCTTATAAATCAAAAGGTCTTAAAAGGTGTAACGAGAAACAAGGCTTTGGGTACGGTAGGGAAATATTTAAGAAAAGTGACTAAGACCT